GGGGGGGGGGTATTCTACACCAGCAAACTGGCAACAGCTCATCCAAGTAACTAACTATATCAAGATTGACCGTCAAGAAGATACATGCTCAAATGAATCGCCCGACAAAGAAGATGAATCCAGCAGACTCGACATCAAAGATCGCGACGATCTTGCACCGGCTTGGACGTTAGAATAGCTGGTGAGTATGTATCACAAAAAATGCTTCGATGTGTATTATGCGGTAAAAGCTGCTCGGTGACCTGGCGGGTCATATATCTGAACCGACCTTGAAACCGAACACATTAGACGCTGTAAAATATAAGCTCTAGATGTTCAGGATGCCAGCCCGTAAAAATTATAACACACTACTAGCACAAGCAAAACTAGCAGGTGTTTCGAATCAGCGTGGTCCCAATAGTGGAACGGTTACCAAGCACCGGCAAGGCTTTTACGAGGGCGGCGAGTGTTTGACACTCATCTGGATGACATATATATGGGACTCAACACGCACTCTCGAACGTGCACGCAGACAGAAAACGCCGTCAGGTGAATGCCCGATATAAAATCGGCTCACACACAATCTTGTCCTTGCCAGAGGAACTCTAGCAAGTAAGCTTCAAGTCCGCCAACAGGCATATCACACCCAATCAAGCTTATCCAGACGCTTACCTTGAAGCTGGGCCTCGCTTTATGTGCATGGATGGAAATCTCGTTTTTTTTTATTGTTGTTGTTGTCCTTTCACACTCTTCCTAATATGTGGTCTCAATCATGCATACAAATACCAAGTGAACTAGGATATGTAATGGATCTCTTCGCGTGGCATAATACACTCCACCGGTAGTTGCACCTTCTTAAATTCGTGCAGAAAATTCAAGCAGTCTCCGGTGCTTCCCAAGGGCCGCTTCAACTACCATCAAGCGTTCGTACCAAAACTTGCCATTTTAGCCCTCCCGAATGCGAATCCGGTCAGTCCCAGTATTACTAATAAGGACAGCCTGAATAGAGCGACATCTAGGTCCTGGATACCGGGAGATCATTCGGCAGTGACCTGGTCCTGTCTCTCTCACGCTGCCGTTGATACCCATCACGCGACCGATTGTTCGTAGCTTGAGCAACTTGAATATAGCCAGTGCGTCATACTCTAAGCGTCTTGTGACAAATACTTGAAATCTGTACATCACAGAGCCTGGATGCCCCCCCCTAGAGCGAAGGGCCTCCACCTATGTCCATGATCGCGACGAGACGTCGTCCTATTCTGAGTATGCCGGAAATGGAATGAACATCAACAATATTGGTGACCCGCTAGAAATGGCTGTATGC